ATGTTTAATACTCTCTAGGATTTTTCATAGGCATGGTACCTTGTGACGAAGTAAGTAAATATTTATGAAACATTCATTATGTACTAACCTGTGCTAGATGCTGAAGATTCAGAAAGACTAATACATGATTCCTGCCTTCCAGAAAAGGACTCACAGCCTCCTGGGGATGTCAGAACCTAAACATATAATTAAATTTGATGTGATACTTACTGTAATCCAAGTTTTGGGAACATTGCAGAGAAGCAACCAATGTTCCTAGAGGAGTTGGAAAAACTGCACAGAAGTAATTATGCTTGGTTTGTTTTAAAGGATAAGGAGTTGTTTTCCAGAGGAGGAGGAGATAGTTCATGCAGAAACAACAGTAAGTGGAGGCCAGGCACAGTGCTCAACTAGCACTCTGGGAGGCCGAGGCAGGGTGGTGGTTGTTGGTGCAGGGTGGGATCACTTGAGCTCAGGAGTTTCAGGACCCCATTTATACCAAAATAGAAAATTTAGCCAGTCATGGTGGTGTGCACCTATATGTCCCAGCTACTCGGGATGCTGAGGCAAGAGGATCTCTTGAGCCAAAAGTTTGAGGTTGCAGTGAGCTAGGCTGACGCCACGGCACTCACTCTGCCTGGGCAACACAATGAACTCTGTTCCAAAAAAAAAAGAAAAAAAAGGTACAGTAGGTAGAGAGTGACAAATACGGTGATATGTTTAAGAATGTCGTGAAGTCCTGTATAGCTAGAAATAAGATTTTTTTTTAATTTATAAAGTCAACTTTAGAGTATGTGAAAATGTGAATGTAGATATCAGCAAATCTAATGAGTTACAGATACATAAAATACTTAATTCTGGAAAAGCTTCACACAGTCTACGGCAAACAAAGCTGAGTCTTTTTTGTCCATTTCTCACAAATAGTAAATGCGTTTGTACTTCTGTTCCAATCTAGCTCTTCTGTTATCCTCCCCTTCCCTCCCTTGGATACTGACCTTGAATTCTATGTGCTTACAAAGCCACTCCTATGCACATAGCTCTAAGGTAATTTTATACAATATTTTTAATAATTTTGTGCCTGAAACAAAGTTTTGACTGCACCTTGTCACATGCCGTCGGGTGTGGAATTTTCCACTGTGGCATCATGTCAGCACTCAAAAATTTCAAGTTTTGGAGCATTTCAGATTTCGGATTTTCGGATTAGAGATGTGCAACCTGTACCATTTGCGTTCAAGTCACAGCTCACATGGCTACAGCAATGAAATGAAATTACATTTATTCATTTCATTAATAATTAAATGAAAACACATTTCTAGCTGTGCATTTGGTATGCATTTTAATGACGCCGGGCCTCTTGCTGAGACGCTTTTGTGCCATAAATAGCTTCGAGTATCGACAGATGATATCCACTATATTTAGACATTGTGAAATGTTCATTATTAAGACTAAGGTGAGACTTCTGTGGTATAATGTGAAAAAGATAATCTCCCTGCTTTAAAATAGGCATTCTGTAGTTTCTGTAAAAATGTTTAATGCACTCTAGGATTTTTTCATAGGCATGGTACCTTGTGACGAAGTAAGTAAATATTTATGAAACATCATTTATGTACTAACCTGTGCTAGATGCTGAAGATTCAGAAAAGACTAATACATGATTCCTGCCTTCCAGAAAAGGACTCACAGCCTCCTGGGGATGTCAGAACCTAAACATATAATTAAAATTTGATGTGATACTTACTGTAATCCAAGTTATGGGAACATTGCAGAGGAAGCAACCAATGTTTCCTAGAGGAGTTGGAAAAACTGCACAGAAGTAATTATGCTTGGGTTTGTTCTTAAAGGATAAGGAGTTGTTTTCCAGAGGAGGAGGAGATAGTTCATGCAGAAACAACAGTAAGTGGAGGCCAGGCACAGTGGCTCAACCTAGCACTCTGGGAGGCCGAGGCAGGGTGGTGGTGGTTGGTGCAGGGGTGGGATCACTTGAGCTCAGGAGTTTCAGGACCCCCATTTATACCAAAAATAGAAAAATTTAGCCAGTCATGGTGGTGTGCACCTATATGTCCCAGCTACTCGGGATGCTGAGGCAAGAGGATCTCTTGAGCCCAAGAGTTTGAGGTTGCAGTGAGCTAGGCTGACGCCACGGCACTCACTCTAGCCTGGGCAACACAATGAGACTCTGTTCCAAAAAAAAAAGCAAAAAAAAAAAGGTACAGTAGGTAGAGGAGTAACAAAATACGGTGATATGTTTAAGGAATGCTCGTGAAGTCCTGTATAGCTAGAAATAAGATTTTTTTTTTAATTTATAAAGTCAACTTTAGAGTATGTGGAAAATGTGAATGTAGATATCAGCAAATCTAATGAGTTACAGATACATAAAATTACTTAATTCTGGAAAAGCTTCACACAGTCCACGGGCAAACAAAGCTGAGTCTTTTTTTGTCCATTTCTCACAAATAGTAAATGAGTTTGTACTTCTGTTCCAGATCTAGCTCTTCTGTTATCCTCCCCTTCCCTCCCCTTGGATACTGACCTTGAGATTCTATGTGCTTACAAAGTTGTTACATCTACATTTCACAATTTAAACTTAGTTATCTGTTTTAGATGAATGTGTATCTAAACTTTTTAAAAACTAAACAACTGCCATTTTTTCCCAGGTCAATTTCTGCATTCTGGATAACTTTCTGAATCTATAATATTCCTGAAGATTCTACCAAGTATTAACACTGCAGAACATACAGAAGTATTTTATGAGTAACTTCTCATTTTAATCTGAAATTCAATTCAATCAAAACTAATAAGAGGCCACTTTGGAATGAAAATATTAACAAAATACCCCATCGCGTTTCATACAGGTGTGGCAAGGGTCTGAACAAAAAAAAAAGAAAAAAAATGTAAAAAAAAAAAATACCCCATCGCAGCTCTGGTTTAACAAAAGAAAAAAAACATTATCTCTATAAAAGTTGGCACTTTGCATATGAAATTTGAAGTAGTCCCTTTCAAGCAGAAAAGGAAATGTTAAAAACCAGGGTAGTCTTCCTGGGAAATCCCATTAGTAATTGATTTCTTTACTAGCAATGGACTTTTTCATTAGTATTGGATATTTTTACATACTCTGAAAAGCTAGTTTACAGATTGCAAAAATAATGTATTTCTAGTTTGGCTTCAATATGCAGACCATGTGCTATGCATCAAACGTGCAGTCCCTAAATATATGCAGATTTTATGCATTGGTTCAGTCAATGTGTTTTTCACTTCCTACTATGTGCCAGGCTAGCTCTTTATTTGAAACGCTATTAATTCCAGTAACTTTCAGACATACCCAAATCCCAAATTCAAACAAATATTTTAGCTCATTCAACATTTGGGAATCTCTGCTTTTATGGAGATTTTAAAGAATTAAATTTTACTATCATTCATTGTTTTGAACAAATTGTATGCGAAGACTTAGGAAATGATTAGTTCTTTGTCACTTCTTTTCCTTAAACATATAATAACATGAATTTGTAGTTCATTATATACTCATGTTATAAATGACAATGGTCTAAGTCTTTTGTTCTATGTTTCAAGCCCACAGAGCACAGGTAACATAACAGTATTTGTGCTCTAACATATTCCAGTTTGAAGCTGTGCTTCTTTATTAACTTGTTAATGAAACTCTTCTTGGATAAAGTTTCATTTTGGCTTCCTTGTTGTCTTAAAGGCTTCAACAACCTGCATTAAATACTTCCTGAACTACTGTCATTTCTTTAGCTCCTAATACTGACTCTGGCTCACAGCTGGCTTCTAGGGCAATGTAGCCACATTATGGATTCATAACACATTTTGACGTTAAGGAAAAACTTTGACTCGGCTCGGTGGCTCACGCCTGTAATCCTAGCACTCTGGGAGGCCGAGGCAGGAGGATTGAGGCGAGGATTGCTCAAGGTCAGGAGTTTGAAACCAGTCTGAGCAAGAGCAAAGCCCTGTCTCTACTAAAAAGAGAAAGAAGTTAATTGGCCAGCTAAAAATATATAGAAAAAATTAGCCAGTTATGGTGGTGCATGCCTGTAGTCCCAGCTACTCAGGAGGCTGAGGCAGGAGGATCACTTGAGCCCAGGAGTTTGAGGTTGCTGTGAGCTAGGCTGACGCCATGGCACTCTAGCCTAGGCAACAGAGAAAGACTCTGTCTCAAAAAAAAAAAAAAGAAAAATTTCCTTGTATCCAAAGTACACACATGTTCATATAAAATTTAACCAAATCAATTTCACTGTCCATTTATGGAAGAACATAATAGACCCAGCATGAAGAAATCTGTATGATAGATTTTCCTGATATGAAAATCATAAGCAGTGTGATTTTCTGCTTCAGACAGCTGAGGTGGCGCTAGCTAATCTCAAGAACAAATATGAAAATGAAAAAGCAATGGTGACTGAAACCATGACGAAGCTTAGGAATGAACTGAAGGCTTTGAAAGAAGATGCTGCAACTTTCTCATCCCTGAGAGCAATGTTTGCAACAAGGTAACAGTTTTTTCTTCCTAAAGTTAGGTGTAATACATGGGGAAAGACTTTAAAATTCACACGGGCATCTTTGTGCATCCTGAGTGTATTTGGTTTGTCATCTAAAACTGTAAAGGTTGGAGAAAATATATGAGACTCCACTCTGACAAAGCTAAAATAGAACCTTCCAAGCTGTTTTCCAGAGCTCTCTCCTGGACACACTGCATCCAGCAATTCTCTTACATAAAAATATTTTTAAATTAATACAATAGATTTTTCTCTAGAGCTTATGTGCCCAAAAGAATTAGACCCCCCCCAAAAAAACTTTAAATAAGGAAAAAAACCCACTTCCTAAAAATAGCCTAATATTATCACCACTGAAATATATTTCTGTAGCTAAAGTACATAAAAGTATATAAAAATGCTTCCCATTAGTATTATGTGAGAAGATACTTTCATAATGAAGATTAATATTCATCTTATCAGCTAATTACTTAGGTTTAATATACTATGAATTAAATTATAATTTCTAAAATATAATTATATTTTAGAAATATAATATCACCACATTTTTCACATTGCCCAACTAATTAATTTTCACCTGCCCCCACCAGTACTATTATGAGACCCACTGTATTTTTTTTAGCTTGATGAGATTGTTAAGCCTGTATTGATTCAAAGGTTCCAAAATTCTGAGATTTTCAATATACTGTTGAAATGCTTTTTTTTTCTTTTTTGCTATCACGATACAGTGCAAAAAACCCCCCCAATAATTATTAACATATGTCTTGTATGATGCAAACTTGGTACAAAATTCACAAATAGTAACTGGCTTTATTTGCAAATTTAGTAAATAACTTACATGTAACTGTTAAAAGTGCAAAAAAAAAAAAAGATCCTGGGCTTTATAACAGTCCCCCAGAATCTGTTCAGCTTTCTTTGTATATTAGGAGGGAAGAGGCTAAAGCTCATGCTTTGTGATTGGATCTCTTGGAGCTGCCCACGGGGTGCAGAGGAACTAAAGGGAACTGGCTTCTGGGTCTCAAAGCACAGTGGCATTTGGGGAATAGAATGAATCGATCTCTGCCCACTGTGGGGAGGCAGGATAAAAAAATGGGAATGGGGCACAGTGTCTCCTCTTTGATGAAATACATCAGGATTACATTTAGAATCAAGAAAACATAAATTTCCTCTTTGAGAAGGAAATAAAAATTTTAAAGGAATCTTTAAAGTCTCAATCTGGTTTATGTAGAAGTTATTCCTCCCAAATTGTCCATTTTCACAAACATTTTTTTTTTCAGTTATAGTAACTGCCTTACTCCACAGTGTTTTTAAAATATCTGACTAATTCGGATAAATACAGGGTCCTGAAATTCACGTTGTATTTTTCTAAGCTCTGATCTTTCTCATGATCTACATATCCCCCACTTTGCTTCTTAACATTCAAGGTTAAAGAAATGGGGACCTGCCAGGGTCTCAAGTTATTTCACTACTGAGCCTGTTTTTTGTTTTTTTTTAAGTGCCCTAGGTTTATGCTAATTTCAAAGTTTGTTCAATACCTTTTGAATAACTCCATGAAGTCATTAACTATCTGCTGGTGCATGAAGAATATTTGTTATTAACATTGTAGTAGGTAAATAAACTCAGAAAAAACTCAGAATGAGCTTTTCCTCCTCCTCAGTTCTTCCTTCCAAAGGTGTATGTGCTCAGGTTTTACCTTTGGTGGGGAAAACAGATCACTTCCTGCTATAGTACAAGTATGAAACCTGAATAAAGATGTTTCTGACAGCCTGCTATCTCTGTATCAAACCCTGTACAAATCCTGGTTTTCTTTGACAACTCATTGCTTTATCATTTGGTTGCAAAATCATTGGAAATATTGAGTTTTCTAATTCAGGCAAATCTGCCATATTGAAAACAGTGGCAGCTGCAGTCTGTACTAAATTGAAACAAATCTATACATACAGATAAGGAAATATTTTCTTTATAAACATTATGATTCTTGTGGGTGCTATAGGTATAGGCTATAACAAATTTATCCCATTCTTCCAAAGGATACAATGTTATACGATGAAAGGAGTTATTATAACACACCTGAGGTACTGTGAACATTATGTGAGACTTGACTGTTCATTATTTTGGTACCACAGATTGGCCCCCATAATAACTCTGTCCCTGGGGTTAAGAATGTCCCCACATGTACTTTGTTGCATGGATGAATCATCATTTATCAAACCTGCTCTACTGTTTGCAGTTTTCCACTATTATAGGTTATCTCCATTTTACTGCTAGAGAGACCTATGTCCTGAGTATCTACATTCCAGTCAAATTCATTACTTTTCAACTTAAATCCCAAATTCAGTTTCGCCAAGATTGCCCCCTGACCACTTTTCTGTTTGGGTTCCAGATGTGATGAATATGTCACACAGTTGGATGAGATGCAGAGACAGTTAGCAGCTGCCGAGGACGAGAAGAAGACTCTAAACACTTTGTTACGAATGGCTATCCAGCAAAAACTCGCCCTGACCCAGAGGCTGGAGGACTTAGAGTTTGACCATGAGCAGTCCCGACGCAGCAAAGGCAAACTTGGGAAGAGCAAGATCGGCAGCCCTAAAGTAAGTGGGGAAGCATCAGTCACCGTGCCCACCATAGACACTTACCTCCTGCATAGTCAGGGCCCACAGACACCCAACATTCGGGTCAGCAGTGGCACTCAGAGGAAAAGGTATGCATGCAGCGATCTTCATAGCATGGTGCAGTGGCCAGATTTTAGTTGACTGCAAAATTAATGTGCTCTTGTTGTGGAGGATGGAGGAGGGGAAGGAAAAGAAAAAATGGGAGCTGGTATATAAATGAGCCTTGCTAATGTTGGTCTTTTCCAGATCAAAACCTTTTGATAATTATGTTTATTTGGCCCTTTCTATCCCTGCCCCGCCCAACCCCACCCTAATCATGATGTAATTTTCAAGTGTCTGTTAATATTTTTGCTATTTATATGTGCAAATATGCCCCTCCCTTACTTCCTACCTAGAAATGGGTAGGTAAAGGTGGATATTAAGAACGAAGCTGTGTTCTACATGGGTTATAATTTGAAAAGTCATTGTACCTCTGGAAATGGTGCTATTTACCAACTTCTCTTTAATGGGGCAAACTACGAAAATGTTCTCTTAGGGGAACTTTTGTCTATATGACCAAAACTTACGACTGGCTGAAAGGGGATGTCTATATTTAGTTAAAATACAATGAAATACATATAGTACTTTTCTTAAAAGCAGGTTTTTGTGCTTTTTGCTTTTTCGTTTGGCATGTGAATACTGCTCAGAGAAACCACTTACAAGGTTTTTAGTGGCTTGATTTTATGACCTTTGTCCAGAGTCTTTCTTGGCTGTTGAGTTACTTACCCTGTATTTTCAGTGAATGATAAAATTTTTTGTTTTAGGAGCTTTCATTAAAGAATCAAATAATACATGTATTTTCTATTTGCGGTTCAAACTGACTAACTGTAATAAATCTCTTTTCCAGTATCCAGAACAGTTTCCCAATAGGGTTGTATCCTGATGTGGAAACTAAAAAAATTAGCAAAAAAAAAAAAAATCTTGATTTACATATTAAAAAAATTAAATGCCAATATAAAGAATGTTGTCACTGGTGAGGCATTGAAAGGTAATTAAAGTAAAACTTTTTTGTTTCCTATATGTATTTTTCTTGGATCTCCTGCAAGACAATTTTCACCTTCCCTTTGTGATCAGAGCCGTCCCAGGACTCCAGGGGCCTCCTACCTACAGAATTTATTAAGAGTCCCCCCTGATCCCACCTCCACAGAATCATTTCTTCTGAAGGGCCCCCCTTCCATGAATGAATTCATCCAAGGGCACCGGCTCAGCAAGGAAAAAAGGTTAACCGTGGCTCCACCAGGTAAACACTTTTTCCTTGGGTGCATGTGATGCAAATGAGTAGTTGAATAGACAACTCTCCCCTTCTTTCCAGCCACTCACGCCCACCCGCCCACCCACCCGCAGAGTCTGACTGTGATGATGTGTCCAGTCCTGCAGTTAAAGTGAAAACTCCTTTACTTTTAGCGTCCTGTTTCCTCCTTTCCACACAGCCAGCCATCCTTCCTTTAGAAGCCTCTGGGACTCCCTTTTAACAGCCGAGGATGGAAAATGAGAGTTGGAAGGAATGGGATAGGTAAAGGGAAATTAACAACAAGTGCAATGCAGGACACACACTTGGATCCTATTTGCAGTCTGGTAGCTCGTGGCGATTCCATTTTGGTCCAATTTTTTCATTTCTCTCTCTCTCTCTTTTTTTTTTTTTTTTATCATTTTTAGTGTAATTTCAATAAAGGGAGCCATATTTAGCACAAGCCTGTTGGGCTAATTTCCTTTAGTAGTGACTCAGAATGTCTCCTCAATCATTGTATGAAACATAAAAGGAAGACCCTCTAAGATTTTCCTTCTCGGGAACATTTAGATCTTAGCATAATGTTCTTGTAGTTTGCAAGCCCTCATTGGTTTCTGGTTACCATCACAATCAGTTTATCTTAGCTTCACTGTTTTGCTTTTTTTTTTCCCCCTTTCTTCTCTCTTCTTAGTTTTCCTACAAAGAGGCCTAAATAAAAAAATGTGATGCATGGGAAATAAAGGAAATGTGACTTCTGGCAAATAAAGATCATCCTTTTAAGGAATCCCTGCATGTTAAGTACGGATCAGATGCGGCAAACAGGAAGCCCAAGCCCAAGGGCAGCTATTATTTGGCTGTTACGGAGAATGAAAAATTAAAACCAATTCAAGTTAATTATCAATAGCTAAATACTCAGAGATTTCACATGAACATCTATATTTTTGGCCTCTTTTGAAAGATTCTGACTATCTGGCAGTCCTAGGGCTGTATTCATGCATGTCAACACTTGGAACTTTGTAGTGGCTGCTGCTGTTAGATAGGGCACCCTTTGCACTTAGCCACAGTCCCCACCACTCCCTACTATAGACCCAGCCTGCCATACTCATTTCTATTCCCTTCTGGCCACAACTGTAGTGTTTGAGTTGATCACTTTTGCTATAAATTTTTTTTTTTAATTTACTTTGATTTTACCTTAATACCTTTTTGGAAACCTCAGCCTTTGGATCACTAATACTTTCCTTATTTGATTCATGTAATTAGCCTACTGGTTGGGATTAAAAGATTTGTCATAGAAATTTACAGCACGTGTTCAACATTGAGGAAAGTGATAGTGATGAGTTGGAATGGCATAACAGCCAAAATGTATACCTAAGAAAAAAAAAAGAAAAACTACTCAGTGTGTTTACTTTCATAATTCATTTCCTATTGTTTTAGATCCCTTTTTGAAGTGTTCTGTGAATACCAAAGTGGTCATGATTTAATCAAGATACTTAAGTTTGCTAAAATGCACAAAAGTGTTCTTTTTAGTGTTTCAAATGGATTTAATAGCACCATCTACTGGAATTTAGAAAATAAATAGGTATGATTAATAAATAACTCCTATTGTATTTTAATTAAAAAGTTGACATATCAATAAGATTAAAAATTAATAATAAATATTATAACAATGATAACTATTTTCATTTTTGTATAACCAGTTCTTATCTACATGAATATATATTTTATATCATTTTCATTACATTGTGGAAGCCATTAACATTATATTTCAAGCTTTTCCCTGTTGCCACCTAGTCTTGTTTTTATTTTTAAAGGGTATTGTATCATAGATTTCATTTCAGATGTTGTTATCACATTAATCACTACTTCCCTTCTTATTGTCCACTGAAATATTTCATTATTTGTTATGTTATACAGTACTGCTGGGAATATCCTCATGTATTCAACTTCTCATCCATTTTATTTTTTTCTCAAGAGTGAGATCACTGGGTTAAAAGTTGAACATCATTATGTTTTTTGTTTCATTTTGATGTTGCTGTCAAAAAGAGTATATCAATGTACTACTAAAAGCCCCACAAAACACTTTTCCCATTTTCATGCATTCTGAATCTTTCTACTGCTTTATACAAACTGTTAGCATACATGAATGAGGATACCGGTATGTTGTATTAAATTCTTTAATTTAAAATAACCAGAAAACGTCATTGACCTCAGAGATGATTACTAGATACAAAATTAGAGCTATAAGAAATGTGAAATTCAGAACTATTACTAGGCTGGAAGATCACTTTAATAACAATTTAGCATATTAATAACCTTTACAATTCTTGTAATTTATTTGAAGGTAAAATAATAAAAGAGAAAAGGAAGTAAAGCTGTTATTATAGCCTAAGGAATTTTGATTATATATCATGGAATCAGCCAGATTAACCCTTAATAAATTCTTATCAGATCAATCTAGTAACATTTTCTGAAAGGTCTTGGTTAAATGAATTACACTGGAAATTGATTTGAGCACCCCCACCAAATTGTAGCTTCTAAAAATATCTCCAAGATTGACAATGTATATTATTTTTCCCTGGCTGAACTATATAAGGTAAGACATATTAAGCATTATTTATGGTGCTTTCACTATATAAAATGTTTTTGTGAAGCTGAGAAAGGAAAACTATGGCATATATAACCAGTCCTGTGTTTTATGCAAGAAATATCTCAAACCCATGGGAAATAGGAGATTTTATGAGCATTTGTTATTCACAAGTTTAATATAAATTATTGACTATTATACAATTTGCTAGATCCTAACAATGTACATTAATCATTTTTAAAGGTTAATTCCCTGTTAATTTATCAGAATGTTTTTGATAAGCATTGTTTTCTAAAATATATTTTTAATCCATCTTTTTAGGTGATATTAATTATTTTAATAAGCAGATATGAGTATTATTTTTCTATTGAGGATCAATGAAGTAATTATATCAATAAAAATGAAATTAGTTTAAATTGCTTTTTATCCTTTGGTTGAGGAATTAAGAGAGATACAAATCTCATTATAAAATGTAAGACACAGGGCAAATAAAATGTCATTTAACCTATATAAGAGATACTTTCAAATAGATTTCTTTTCTGTGAGATAATGAGCAGAAAACCCCATCTCCTTAAAGACATAATTTCTTAATTCTGGAGAATCAACTCTAGGGTGGGACATTGATTGTCAACAGTAGTAAAATGTTTTATGTTAATTGATTAGAGCATGGTACTGATTTGCTACATTAGCACTCCTTTTTAGGGGAAAATATTCTGGCCTGTGTCTCTGACTTTGGCTCAGCTTCTGCTACCTCAGCCTCTGAAATTCTGGTTTCTGGCCATGGCTTGTTGACTTTCTTGTTCTTCACTTTATCCTTATCTCAGCACACAGACGCCAGTGTCCTTCCACATGCATTAGATTTTACAGTCTCAATTACCAGCTAATCTGAGAAGTGCCTGCCAGCTTTGATGGAAATCAAAAAGGGACCCTGTTGTCATCAGGAGTTCATAATCAGGCAGCAGATTGTATATCTTCATAAAATCCTCAATTATTTTGTAGCCAGCATTTTATCTTGATGCCTTAACTACCTAGGCCTATATCATCATCATCATCATCTTAATCATTTAATCAATAATTAAATAAGTCTACCAGAATATGTAAAATGACTCCATGCAATTCACAGACAAGAGATGTTATTTCTGTAGTAAAGACCTGCCTGCAGCATTTGCACAAGATAAATAAGAAATTTCAAACTTGAAAAAGCAAGTTTGAACTTTCTTCTTGAAGTGACAGCCTAAGCAATTTGTTCTTTTATTTATTTATTTATATATATATTTTTTACTCTTTTTATTTTATTTCTTTTTTATTTGCAAGACAATTTTTCCATGGAAGCAATTTGTTCTTTACACTGTTTTCCACGCAGGAGTCTTTCCTCTTGGATGTGTTGTTCCCCTGTATCATTTCAATCCTCTCTCCCCTTTGTTCCTCCTTCTTTTCTTCTATGCCCCCTCCCCTTCTCTGACATTGTCTCAACTAGTGTGAGAGAATGGGATTGTTTTAAAATCTGAAAAGTTTCCTGTGATACCTTAGATTTTACCAATTTTTAAAGCAAGTCACAGAAATGTATTAACCTTAGACACATAATTACCCCTTTAGATATGTAGGCAACAAAACACACAAACATGTTCATACTGGAAATTGCCTTTATGTTTCACTACATTCAAACAAGTAAATGTTTATTTGCCTGTTTGTTGTACTGCAAAGGCTGTGTTCCTGAGCATGTACCAAAACCACATGTCTTTCATTAACCCCTTGGCTCATGGACTCATTCATCAAAATGTAACAGTTTAGTGAACACCTACTATGTGTCAGGCACTTTTCTTAGCTCTTGGTATATACAACGATATTCAAATAAATTCAACGTCTGGTAGGGGAGGTAGGCAGGCAAATAAGTAATAATGTTACTAGTAGATGTTCATAGAATAAGTAAAGGAAATAGGAACATCCTTCCAGAAGAGATGCAAGGCTGGCCATGAAAGGTCACTAGACCTTAACAGGCTGGAGCAGGCATCCTCAAACTACGGCCTATGGGGCCCACTGAGGACATTTATCCGGCCCGCCGGGTGCCACTGCGGCCTGTCCTGCTTAGCAGCCGACTGTCCCGGGCCCACAGTGCGCATGTGTGGAATGTGCGCCGCACTCTCCAACAGTCTGAGGGACAGTGAACTGGCCCCCTGTTTAAAAAGTTTGAGGACCCCTGGCTGGAGGTAGGGGTGCAGGTGTGGGTGGCAAGAAGGAAAGGAGGCCAGCTTATGCAGATGCCCTGAGCTTAGGTCTGCAGCCTGGGGCAGGCCTTGGAAGTGATGGCAAGTGAGGCTAGAAGGGTGGACAGGGACCTGAAGACAGAGGACCAGGCTGGTGAGGGCAGGCTTTGCCACAGGCATAGCTAACAGTTGTAAGAACTGGATTCACTTTTCATTATCTAAAA